TCTCCTGTGTGAAAATTAAACCGGTGTCCATCCACCGAAATAAAAACCACAGATTAGGACTGATGACCACCAATTCACAGGATGAGCAATGCATAGAAGCCCAATTTCTTTCAGCATCATTGAAAGCCTAGAAGAGTCCAGAACAGTGAATCTAAAAGAACCTAAAGGGCAGCCCATCTGCCAAGGAAAGAGAAGCAGGATGGGTGACCTGCCACTGGAGTCACTTCTGACCTTGACACTCACCATCCAGCTCTGTACACCTGGGTCAGTGACCTCTGCTTAGGGTTGACCACAATGACTGCTCACACTTCTCGCCTGTCAGCTATGTAAGAGGGGAACAGAAGTGGCCTAGCTGGCAAACGATTCAGAAAGGGGGACTCAGGGACTAAAATGCACAGTTTGCTTCACTCTGGCTCCAGATTCTGTGACAAGGCAGCATGACCTGCCTGGGGAAAAGTGCAGGCCTAGAAGTCAGAAGCCTGAAGCCCAGGACCTGGACAGCCAGGCCCTTTCCCCTCATCAACAGAGCTGGAATAATAGCTGCCTGAGGGCATTGAGGTTAGAGCTGAGATGGGCCCATCTTACATGGGAGGAAAGATAATTTGTGTGAAATGGGGTTTTTTTAAGGTTTCATTTATTTATTTATGAGGGACACAGAGAGAGAGGCAGAGACATAGGCAGAGGGAGAAGCAGGCTCCCTGTTGGGAGCCCAACACAGGACTTGATCCCAGGACCCTGGAATCACGACCTGAGCCAAAGACAGACGCTCAACCACTGAGCCACCCAGCTGGCCTGAAATGTTTTGGAAAGTTCAACACACTAGCTAAAGGGAAGCTGTTGTCAAAACTATTCATCTTTTCACTGCTTGCTCCTGTTCTCTCTAAGAGGATCATCTCCTTGAGTGTGGGCTCTTGGCAAGGGTCAGCTGTGTCCCCAGCACCAGCTGGTAGTCCCACTGTCCGAAGTTATTGAGCCAGGGACTGGAGGAAGCTCTTAGCCCCAGAATTGTGACCTGGGAGGTAGCCTGATTGGCTCCATTCTCCCCTGTGCACTTCCACACCCCAATGGCAGTAGGCAATGAGGCTTCCTGGGGAAAGGGAAGATTTTTTGTGAATAATAATTTCATCTTTAATCCATGAAGCACATGAGGCCAGTAATCCACTAAATGCTTGAGAAAGACTCATCTGGCTTTTGCTTCCGCATACCCACTGTAAGCTTCAGTTCACTCAGTTTCCAGACCTTTTGTCCTCTCACCAGCTTAACTAATGTGCAAACATATTCCCAAAAAGCCTCCAAAACAGATTATGACCAACAGACTGGAGAATGACGCAAATGTAGGCCATCTACATAAGTGAAACAAGTTGGGTCCAAAGGGATCATTTGCGTGGCTTAAATCATGGAGGTGGGCGACATCCACAGGCCTGAAGTCACAATGGCTGGCATTAGCAATTGAACCTGGTTCATTCTTGACCCAAGCCTCAGGGGGATCTAGTCCTTCCACTTCAAGAGCCCCCACCCCACACCCACCCTCAGCCCCACACACACACACCCAACATACACACAGATGGCCAAGCCACCACCGCACATTCCTCTCTTCTTTGGTGGTCTCCACTGGGATACAATTCCATTGGCATAATTAGGAGGACACCAGAGAGAATTCAGCTCCATGTATTTTTTATGAGAAATGAGTCAATAATGTTTTTTTTCTCCCCACACTCTCCCAAAGAAAGGGATTAGAGCAGAGGCAGTTGCAATCTTAGATTAGCAACTCCACAACAGTGTGGGCAAGAAGACAATAGGCGGTAGATGGGAAACCATTAATCGGAATTCTCTTACCCAGCTAAATCCAGGTTTGGCAAATGGGGCACCCTTCCAGGCCTCTCCAACCTCCTCTAAGCCCCACCAATCTTCTTTTCTAATTTAATAGTGCCTTTCAACAAAAGGCCTATGTCTGGAAAGCCATGCTGGGTCTGACCCTCCATGAGCATCCTAAACTGCCTATCTCATCACCAACACAGCTGCTTTGGGGAGAATGCAGACACTCACTTCCCTGTACACAGTGCCCAACTTCCCCACCACAACAACCAGGCCAAGGGGTGAGCCACAGACTTTGGAAGCTTCTTGGTCAGTTTTGACTCAACTCTGTCCATCAGTGTTTTTGTCCCTATTTTATCCACTCTGTCACCATTGAGAATAGAGGGGACTCAGAAAGGGAGTCATTATTGCCATAGCCATATGATTTGCTGTGTCATCTTGAGTGAGTCATAATCCCCCTGAGTCTATTCCCTTATTTGTGAACTAAAAGGGTTGAACCGCATGACCTTCTGGTCCTCCTGGGCTCTGAACCTTCATTCCATCTCACTTCCCTCCCACCCTCACTGTAGGGAGGAGGTCAAAGTGCTAGGCTTCTTGTTTTTATCATTAACTCCTGGAGGTAAGACAAATGCAGATGAAATTTTAGAACTCACCAAAGTTACTTTGCAGCTAGCAGGAAACTCAAATAATCTACTGCCCAAATGCCATGCCTTCAGACAGGTAAGGTAGCATGACCCCCAAGGGGTAGACAAGAAAATTGATCCATAGAGGCTAAATGGCATGCACAAAGTCCCAGCTGTCCAAACACGTGATACCAAGAGGGCCAGAAGCCAAATCTTCAGTTTCCTGGCACTGACTCCCCCACACCACAACAAATGTTACCAACAGGCATTGTGTTGGGTATCTGCCAAAGCTTGAAAAGAAATTAATAAATTTAAAATCAAGTCTTTACAGAAGCAAATCATAACAACAGCCTCTTAATACTCATTTTTTAAAAGATTTTATTTATGTATTCATGAGAGACACAGAGAGAGGCAGAGACATAGGCAGAGGGAGAGGCAGGCTCCCTGCCAGGAACCGGATATGGGACTCGATCCCAGAACCCTGGGATCACGACCTGAGCCAAAGGCAGATACTCAAATACTGAGCCACCCAGGTGCCCCTCATATTATTATTTATGACCAAGAGATGGTAGTGAGAACTTTGATGCTAAACCCTTTCCAACAGGAAAGCAACAGATACCTGGCATTTTTCCTATCCGCCCATATATTTCATGGTGGTGGAAGTCAGAAATCACATCAGGGATACTCACAATTGATGGCAAAGGAGTTCCAATGTGACATACAAGGTGCTTGAGGGGAAGCTCTCTGCTTTGCTAATGGACAAGGTAATCTTGACACATTTACAAACGTGTTTATGGCTCTACCAATGTTTAACGGGAACCTGTGGAAGCTGAAGAACTGTTCTATTTATCTCCAAATTGTCAATGTTATTGCTCTAAATAGCAAATGGTTTATTTTAAAAACTCGAGAGGTTTTTTTTAAAGTCAAATTTCATCTCCCATATGTGTATAAGAAGCTCTTTTAGGTTGAAATAATTCAGTTGAGTTATCTAAGCCAAAATGATCATATTTTCCTCACCAACTAACATAAAATCTTCTAGAAATGTGCTCACAGAGAAAAATATCATTCCCAGTGTATACTCAAATTCACACTAAAGAATCCCAACATTCACTTTAGGGATGTTTTGTTCTTGGAAATGATCAGTCTCACTCATTTAATCCCCCTACAAAATCCATATAAGCCAAGCCACCCAGAGCATTATTCCCTGGGATTTCAAAGTATATTAAAACACACCACACAGATAAAAGCGGGTGTTGTTCTGAGTTTAGAGGACCTGAACATGAGCTCCTCTTCTCTGACGAGGGAAGTGGTAGGTAGCTAGGTTCTCACAGAGGAAGGGCCTGGAGTCCTCACCCACTACTGATACTGATCTGAAGTCCAAGAGGCATCATTATGCCCAGCAAGTCACAGAGTCATTGGCCAGGTCTTGTCTTGGCAGGGATCTGGCTGTTCCTTCCAATTACCTCAAGGCTAGTCCCACTAGCCTGTTAGCCCTGAGAGTGAATCTTGCCTAATCTCAACTTCCAGATGGCTTTCTGAATTACTCACCCAGTTAACACCCAGCCAGGCTGAATTTCCAGAATCCTCTATATGAGGCTGAAGATTTACCAGATGAACTACCTTATCTTCATCCATCCGAAGCATCAACTAGGCAGTAGGAAAAAGGAAGAACAACTCCCATGGAACACTTAAGCTGAATAAGAATCTGACACTGTCCTTTGCGATGACTTGATGTCCTTGCTTTTTCAAGGGAGAAAATCACCCGAACCAGACCAGCAGTTCCTGCCTTATGCAACATGTTGCAGGCACCCATTCACTGTTTGAGCATGTCCTAATTCCAACACACCTACAGAACATTTGTCTTCTTTTCATTCCTTCCATTACCTGTAGGACTAACAATCCGAAGCAGTATAATCCAGCAATAGTACTACTCACTCTTCCTAGGCACAGGGCCGGACTTCACCATTTGACCATGGCCTGACTACCTCAGCAAATTTATGCAAGGGAGAGTATGGACCACAGAATGCCATTGGTCACAGCCAAAACTTTAACAAAGAAACAACTCCTTCTTTTCCAACATTTGCCAAAAAAAAAAAAAAAAAAAAAGCAAGCAAACTTGGGGAGGAAATAGCATCACTGTTACCAGGAGTTAATTAGTTATGAAACAGCCAAAGGTCAGCAGCAGATGAGAGAAAAATCCTCATAATTAGAATAATCAATAGGCCAGACATTCAATAATTGCATATCAAGTGAAAGATTCACCAATGCAGTGGCGATGCATGCCTGCTTCTGCAGCCCCACCACCCCTGAGCCAGTGGCTTGCGCTCTACATAATGTTGAGAGGGAAGCCTCTGGTCTCTTCCACATCCATTCACGGACATGCAGGGCCTCCAAACCTCCAAAGGACAAACCCAGCAGGCGAGAATATCTATCAAGCATGCTCCCTCTGTTCCAGACATCAGCCATGCTAGTTCCCACCCACATGGTTACTCTTCTGTTGACCACCCACATTTATTCAGCTTTCAAGACATGACAACAAGGTCTGAGATTTGAGGCATGTACCTGACTCTCTCTCCCCTCCAGGGGTGGTGGAATCTGATCAGCAAAACCAATCTTCCCTGGATCACCCATAAAGGCACTAACCTCATCCACGTTCTCAAAAGCGTTGATGACATCATATGGCAAACAGGACAGAAGGTCAATCACAAACCACGTCTTCAGGTAGTTCATGCGGATGAGTTTGGGGTCAGAAATCACCTCCCCAGCTGGTCCAACAAAGGTAGTATGAAAATTCAGCACAATGTCCACCAAAAAGATGACATCCACGATGCTATCCACGACCAGCCAGGCCACATTGTTCTGCCTGGTTTTAAAGGAGACATTGTAAGGGACCAGGATGGCTGTGTAGAAGGTTAAAATCAAGATGATCCAATCCCATGTGGTCTTAAAAACACAGTAATGTAAGATGATGTGAGGGGGAGTCTTTGGTGCCTCTTGCTTGTACTGGGGGAGGATGTCTGAGCCCAGCTGCAGAACCTGTATAGAAAAACACAGTTAAGAGAGAATTAAGTCAGGATTCCACTGCAAACATCTAACCAGTCAGCATCTGTCACTGACAAATGCTCGCAACACTCCAGATGGATCACAAGGAGCAAGAACAGGTACTAGAGGAGTATGGGAGAATAGAGATGAACATTATAATATAAATAATCATAAGGAAACAATGACTAACTATTATTTGGCTTAGTGAGCCAAGCATTGTACTACATACTTCACACATATTTATTACCTCACTTAATTCTAAATACAACCTTGTACTGTTAGCCAATTATTATTCCATGTGACAAGGGAGAAACTGAGGCCCCAGAGAATTAAGCAACTTTACTCAACAAATATTTACTGTTCTATGTCGGGAACTTTTCTAGACACTGGTTATATGTGCAGCAATGAAGCCTGCTCTCATGGAACCCGGTCTAGTAGACGAATCAAGATAATTTCAAATTGTGGTAAGAGCCAACTAAAAGCAAGGGTGGGGACCCGGTGACTGGAGAGAATGTGACATGAGGAACAGGGGAGGGACAGCATTTGAACCGAAACCTGAATGACAACGAGAAACCACCCATTCAAACTTGTATGGAAAATTATCTGAGGCAGAGAGCACAGTTGGCGTAATGAGTCCAGGGTGGGACAAGCTCGATGCTCTCAGGCCAAGAGAGAAGTCGGATGTGGCTGAAGCCCACTGGATGAGGGGAAAGGATGCCAGATGAGCTCAGAGGAGAAGTGGCAACCAGATCTCACAGGACCAAGTGCGCCACGAGGAGGGGTTAAACTTCATTCTCTTAGCATAATTGGAGCGGTTTAACAAAAGACTATTAAACTGGTGCCTGTTTTTAAAAGATTACCCTGGCTGCTGTGTAGATAATGAATTGAGGCAAAGGATTAGAAGGAAGAACAGAATCAAGGAACTTACTAAAACAGCCTTGGAAAGAAATGAGGGTATAGAGGAAAGTAATTCAATTTTTTATATATTTTTGAAGTAAAACCAGCAGATAACTTGCTCATGGCCAGAAAGTAAAGCAAAGCGAGCAATGAAAGGTACCTACTACTTTATCTCCATACCCAGCATGGTGGCTGGCCCAGAGGAGGCACTATAGGATGGTTTTACATGGACGAATGAACTGCAAGGTCATACAGCTAGCAAAAGATGGAACCAGATCCCAAAGTAGGTCTAGCTGGATTAGAAACAGATGCTATTCCACATCAAGGTTGCATTTCCCTAAGTAACAGGCTTTTAAAGAAGCAAACTCATGAAGGGTAAAGTTCAAAGAAGCTTGGCTCCAAGAAAATATCACAGATGGATTTCATCCTCAGTAGTCAAAAGCAAAAAAGCCACACTTTCAGAAGCCCAGCCAAGCTGGCAGGGGCCCTCACCCCTGACCCCGAGCTGCATCTCCTTTATAAGAACACTTACAGGTTCTTATAAATCTCTGGGTGAAACTTTCTCTTGTATCATGGGAACTTCCTCTTTCCTCCAGAGGATAAAGACCCCTTAGTGAATATAAACTGATCTAAATATCCCCATCTCCTCTATGGTTGGCCCTGGGCCTTATAAGGTGAGTAAAAGAAAGCCTGAAATCCACAGAATGCCCAGTGTGCATCTTTGGGTATAGGAACTATTTCTACCCCTCCCACCAATGCACAGAGAGCTCTTCTAGGCTTGGGATTTTATTTTCTCTCCCCCATGAAAAGGAATTTATACAAGTCTGATTTAAAAAGCCTGGGCCCTGAGATCTCAAGGCAGGAAAAGAGACGGACCTAGAAGAAAATAAAAGTAAACTGAATGGGACTTCCACTTCCAGAAAGATAAAATAGACATACTTTTCTCTATTCTTTCTCTAAGAACAACTAAATGTCTTGAGCATTACAAATAACACAAACTTAAGACTCTCAAAGATGGAGGGAAAAAGCAAACTGCCTGGGAATAACGTAATGAGGAATTCTCTGGGTGTTGTCTGTGCCTCAGACATTCCCAGACTTACAGCTGAAGAAGCCAGAGACCTGAAATGACCAAGGAATGCAGACAAAAAATAGTCCCAACAAAAGCCCACCCTCTGTAGCAAAGAGACTGGGAAAAGCCTCAAAAGACAGAAAACTTTTAGATAATGACCTCTCTACCACAGCTAAGCAGCACAGTAAAAGCCATGGCCCCATTCCCACCCAGGCTGGCAAAGGCTTCTAGGAAGTTAGATTTCTCCCATCTTAGGTGGTAATGAATCACCCAACCTCCTCCTCTTCCTCCTCCTCCCTACAAGGCTAGCATTGGAAAAGGCCCAGTATGGAGCCTGGACTTCTATGTCCACTCAGCAATAATGAAGGCCCATCTGCCCACAAGGCAGAGAGGCATCAGTGTAAGCTCAACAGGCCACTAGAACTCTCATGCTCACCCAGAGATAACAAGGAGTGCCCCTCAGGTATCAATAGAGGCTGAGTTTAAAACTTGGACTTCTACCCCCACTCTGGAGGAATGAGGGGATGCCTATGCCTTCCTCTCCCATACCCAGGTCAAAGGAAGCCACCTACAACAAAAGGTTTAGATAAGATCCAGAGTCTCATTACTTAATATTCCATATGTCCATGCTTCTATCAAAAATCACTCATCCTACCAAAAAAACAGGCAAATCTCAAATGAATGTAAAACAATTAGTAGATACCAACACCAAGATGACAGAGATGTCAGAAATATCTGATGAAGATTTTTAAACGGCCATCCTAAAAATGCTTGAACAGACATTTATGGATATGCTTAAAACAAATGGAAAAAAATAGAAAGTCTCAGAAATAGCAAAGAAGTAGAACGTCTCAGCAAGGGAAGAGAAGATATAAAGATGAAACAAATGTAAATTTTAGAACCAAAAATACAATCACCAATTTAGGCATTTCAGTGGATAGGTTCAACAGCAGAACGGAGAGGACAGAGGAATCTGTAGAAATTACCCAAACTAAATGACAGAAACAGAAAGGCATCTGACATAATGGGAAAGGGTCAATTCATCAAGACAGAATTCCTGACGCATATACACCGGAGAGCTCTAAATACACTCGAAGCAAAAGCTGATAGAACTGAAAGGAAAAGCAGACAAATCCACCCTGTCCTCTCTCAAGACCTGTTGGAACAAAATTAGCAAGGATATAGCTGGACTCAACAACATCGTCAACCAACAGGAGTTAGTCGACATTTATAAAACACTCCTCCCACCAAGAGCAGAATGCTCTGTTAGGAAAATGAAGAGACATATGATGACTTGGAGAAGATATTCCCAAACTTCCTATCCCACAAAGAAACAGTCTCTAGAATATATAATTTACAATATATAATCTCCAAACTCAACAACAACAAAAACCAAACAATCCAACCAGAAAATGAGGAAAAAGCATGAAGGGACATTTCCCCGAAGAGCAGAGACAGATGATACATAAGCCTATGAAAAGATGTGCAACATCATCACCCTTTAGGGAAATGCACATTAAAAAGACCACGAGCTATCACCACACACCTATCAGAATGGCTACAAGACAAAATAGTGACAAATACCAAATGCCGGTGATGATGCAGATAAACCAGAGCACTCATATTGTTAGCAGAGATGTAAAATGGTACAGCCACTCCAGGAAGGAGTTTTGCAGTTAAACAACCAAATATGCACCCACAGCCTGACCCAGTAGTTACACTCCCGGGCATTTATCACGACAAATGAAAATTTTACATTCACACAAAAACCTGTACATGAATGTTCACAGAGCTTTATTCGTAACATCCCCAAACTGGACATGACCCAGATGTCCTTCAACAGGTAGCCGGTTAAACACACTATGGTGCATCCACACCATGGAAAATACTCGACAATAAAAAGGTACAAACTATTGACACACACAGCAAGCTGGATGAATCTCCAGAGACTGAATCAACAATTCCCAAAAATAATGCACTGCATGACTCTATTCATACAAGATCCTTGAAATGACAAAATGGTACAAATCGAGAACAAGTTAATGGTTGCCAGGGGTTTAAGGAGGAGATGAGGGCTGGAAAGAAGTGGGTGTGACATACAAAGGCAACATGAGGTATTCTTGTGATGATGGAATATTCTGTGTCTTGACCATACCGATGTCAGCATCTTGGGTGGGATATTGTACTTTAGTTTTGCAGGAAGGTACCATCAGGGGAAAAGGAGTAGAGTCCATGGGATTTCTATGTATTATCTCTTCCATGTGAATCTATAGTTATCTCAAACTAAGAAGTTTAATTTTTAAAAGTCAACGACTATATATGAATTATAACCCTTGTAAGGAAGGGGTCATGGGCATTCAGCTAAGGGAAAGGCAGGGGAAGAAGGAGGTGAGTTACTTCAGGGTTTATTGTATGTTTGCAAAATACAGTCTGAGTGATAAGACTATTCAGCCGGAACTCAAAAGAATCCACAAGTAAGCAGCCACCCGCTGACCACACACCAAAGTCGCCTGGAGTTCCATGATTCTTGGTAACAAGCCCCCGAGACGAAACGCCTTTTTAGAGAAACATAGCTGTTCCTGTGACAGTTTAGTATAATCCATAATTGTTCCTAAGTGGATTCCCATGCTTTCCAGGACACTGTAAAGCCCTGCTTTGAATGAGGCCTGAGTAAATGGTGCCTTCATACCCCTAGAACTGCCAGGCTGGCCACTGACTCTCCTCCTGCTGCTTCTCCTACATCATGTGTTCAAAGGCGGTTGCCAGAAGTGTGAAGCTGGCCTGGGACGGCTGCTGAGGACTTGTATTCAGTTTCTCTCTTCCTATCTCTGAAATGCAGCCTTTTATACTGAAACCACAGGGTATCTGCATTCTGGGAGTAGGCTTGGATGCTTGGATATTTGATCAGAATAAATGTGACACACTGTCTTTCCAATTCTTTATGTTAAAGGCCAAAAGCGGGGAGCCTGGGTGGCTCAGTGGGTAAACCATCTGCCTTCAGCTCAGATCATGATCTCAGGGCCCTGGG